CAATTACAGAATTGGTGCTGCAATAACAAAAATTTACTAAAAGTTCATTGATGTTAGGGTTAGTGTTTATATTTGGGCAAAATGTATGGAGTAGGCAGATCATCGAGTAAGATTTTAATGCGAAAGGACTTTAGAGTAGATGACTAAAAGCTATGTTTGTAGTTAGAGATCTTTTGATTGTTGTTGATATATAGCCAAGTAGCATGCTAGTGAATCTGATTAGAAATTTTAAACCATTGTTAAAACCGGTTTTGGGATGACCAAAGTGCATAGATATAAGCATGACAGATAGTTCGAGTAAACTATCGAATTGGTAACTTGACTGGAGAATCCACAAAGAAAAGAGTATAGTTTGGATTATATATATTATAAGGTTTAAATATTAAATAAGGTGTGATGATATTATATCGAGCTAGTTGATCAGCTTGGTTATTAAATTCATCATCTTGATAAGCATTGACCTTATAAAAGACAACTTGCAAGTTGTATAAGTTAATAAAATTAATTAGGGTATACCACAGTGAGTGATATAGTGTTCATAAAAATGATAGAGCAAGAGAAGATTGATTAGTATTGTTGTATTTGGATATCACAGACTGTGAGTCTGTATATATATGAACTATACAGTTTCTAGGTGCTGTAATAAGTGCAGATAAGATGGCAGTAAGTTCAGCTTTGAAAGAGCATGGTCAAAATTTAATTTGTGCTTGAAAGAAATGCACAATATTATTATTTTAAACTTGTATCCAACCAATCCCTATGGAGTATTGATTTGTACTAAGTTCAATAACTGAACCATCTGTATAAAAAGAGAGTTCTGAGTAGTTGTGGTTATGGTAGACAATAGATTGAAGAGTATTAGTTGAGGTGCTAGTTTCAAAAATGTCTGAGATTTGTATTATAATAATAGAGATGTTGGAAGTAGATGGAATTTAAGAGGGGTGCCAAGAGGCAATAGAGTATATTAGATCAAGATAGTTAGCATTTAAGTTAACAGATCTAGTGATAGAGTTAACTCTACCAAAGAACTTGGTGACCAAGTTAATTGGGATAAGAGTAGTATATTTGTTAGCAATAAGTATATATAAATCATATAAGTGTCAATTTTGACTAATACTATAATTTATATATTTGATGTAGAAATTAAATTGTTATTCGAAAAAGCTTTTAATAAAAAATTTTTATATAATATCATATATAGTTTTGATTTTCAGAGCAGAGCGAAGAAACTTAAGTTCAGACTAGTAATTTAGTAGAGTCAACTAATAATAGTCATCGTCATAACTTTTTACAACTACTATACTATAACAAGTAATATAGTAAGTTATGACAAGTGACAACTATCATTGGAACAATTCTACTGCACCACTAGCCCAGACAAGAAGTGAAAAATTTTGGCTCCGTGTGGGTTCAGGAGTGTAAAATAAAATAAATAAAATTTTCTTATTGTTATATATTCATCGATTACAATAATTTTTAGTTGATATATTATTTTTTATTCTCTACCAGTCGAAAAATTGCTTAGGTCGATTATAATACAATTGACATTAAACTTATACTGCTGTACTGCAATACCAAATTCCATATATAATGATAACATAAATTTGTATTTATAAAAATAAGAAGCTAAATAATAATGATCTAACTTTAAGTGATAAAATTAATAATTTTAATAAAAAAGATCTTTTTTTTTCAATAATAAATATGAAATTATAAAAATATAAATGATGAAATTAATAATTTTTAATAAAAAAAGATCTTTTTCTTTCAATAATAAATATGAAATTATAAAAATTAGGGTAGCTGCATGATGCAATCATGTATAATATGTAAATTTGTACTATTTGAAAGTTATTGATAAGGATTTTAATACTTATTAAACAAACAAAACTTAGAAATATAATATAATTATAGTAAATGCTATATATCTAAATATTATCTTTTAGGTAATGAGCAGCACAAATTCATTAAAGTTCATTCATTTTAGTGTTAGGTTTAGTGTTATAAACTAGAGAAGGGTAGTTTCATAGTAAAATTGTCTAACGAAAACCTTTTTGTTAGAGCCCCAAAAGTGATTTCTTATGTAGAATTATGAAAAGTAAGTAAAACGAACATTTGTTTTGAATTTTCTTGATAGTTTATATTGCAACTAATCTTGAAATCTAATTCGTAGCTGTGTACATATTCAAGGAGTTCAAAATCAGATATAATGGGAAAATTCAAAATGAATAGCATGTTTCATCAAAAATTACTTTTTTCTCGAAGAATTGTATATATAATTACATTAATAAAAAATTTTCCTTAAACAATTTTACTATATACCTCTCTAATCTCTAGTATTAATAAGAGTCTGACCCTTATACTAAAATAAACAAACTTTAATGAATTTTGATTGTGCCACAAACCTGGTATATATTCTAGTAATACTCTGATTTTGAAATCTGATTCATAGCTCATGCAATTATTACCACAAACCTGGCACACATCTGCATAGATTACAAATGATGATGATATTAATTATGTCAATCAAATTAAATTATTATAACCTCAGTGCTTACCTTAAATGACTGTTATCTCATATGGTTATCATAATAATACTTAATTGACAAATCGTAATTAAAGGGTACAAAATAATCAATATTTATTAATTATAAGTGACAGGCATTTAACAGTGAAGTTTTATAGTATTATGAATAGTGAAAGATCGTCTCATTTAAAATGTCAAAAAATAAAAAATATACAGTACGACTTGCAAACAAAGGGCAAATAAACTCAAATCTCTATTACGGACCATATGCTCGAGATTGGTGGATTCCAAATCTAAAAATTGCAAATAATAGTGTTTTAAATCTTCCTTTTCATCTTTATATGAGTATAATAACTGTAATAAATAATCACAAATTTTTTTTATCTATTGTTAATAACCCGTCAAATCCCTTGCAACCAGGCTTTTTGTGTTCAGTGGGAGAAAATTTAGTGATGTACAAAACACACCTTCAAAAGCAATTAACTTATTATATCAGGAATTGTTTGGAGACCAAACTGAGCATTCGGGTTTAGCAGTATTTGGGTTTTATAATGAAGAGATTATATCAGAAATACTTACTAATATTTCGTTTTTTCTATTATTCATAAAAGTTGACAAGTTTTCTATAGTAGTTTCAAAAATTGGATATTCTTCATGTAAAGATCTTCTATACCTGGTCCTGGTTACACATCATCTTTATTAACATGCTGTAGTTCAGAGACTTACCTTATTTTACAACAAGTTTTAGACAACTATTGTAGTTTGCAAGTTTATAAAGGTAGAAATGAAGTACACCAATATGTTGGTGAAACACCAATTGTCATTTGGAAGAAGTATGGAATGCACCAAAATAGGGATCATCTTGCACTTTTTAGATTAAAAGATCCAAAAGTTCAGGCATTGTTGACAAATAAAAAAGAAGATATAATATGTACATCATTTCAATGGAACGACATATCAATTTTACAACAAATTTTTAATCTGCACATTAAATGTAGAAAAATTTCAATGCCTAAGGAAGATTGGCATATTCTTTTTACTAAATGGATCACACAACAAAGTACAATAGTTCGGCTGCCACATGTTTTACATAGTGTATATCTACCTGGTTATTCATTTCAACACAAAAAACTAGCAGCCTGGCATTCTATGTTTCGAGCTTGTGGGTATACAAATATTATGCCCTATTCCAAAGAAGAGTCTGATTTCAAATTTTGGATGTATGCTGTAGATTCTAGGGCCGATCGGCAAACTCTAAAAAACTTATATCAATGGGAATTAATTCAGATAAAAGATCAAAATTCTCTATGTAATATTGCTACAAGTTGTCAATTCTGGGATAGTTTTCGCCATGCACTAAAAATTAATAAAAGAGGGGCTGGTAGAAAAATTCGAATACTATCTATTATCGCATCTTACTTTGATTATCAGGTTCTTAAAAGAGAATTAGGAGTAAGACATCGAGTATTTTTTTTTTTTTTTTATAAAATTTATTAATACAATATAATTATTATTAAATACAGGTAACATCAAAAACTATATGCAAAGCCAGAAAACATTCTCGTCTCTATAGTGTTGGTGCACCACCAATGGAAATGCCAAAAAAAACAACCAAATTAATGGCCAAATTTAAAGAAAGACAGTTCAAAATATTTTTTTCCGATAAAGATAATGTTACAATGAGTTCCTACAAGACAGACCCGAAAACTAACTTGTCTATCCTTTATTTACGTGATAACAAGGCTTTACTTTGGAAAAAGTTTCAACAAACCTTTCCCAATGAGATGAAAAAAATCTCTTTCATGAGCTGCATTGCAAATTATACACATCTAAAATATCAGAGCGATTTGGGTGGCCTTTGCAGAATTTGTAACGATTACGGTTTTGAATCATTTGAAAATTTAATTGGAATTGCACGAAATACATTTACTGACAAGATTGAAATAGTATTAAAATTTTTTTTTTTTTATTAGAATGCAATTTTTTTTTTTTTCTTTTTTTTTTTTGTTGGCAAGCAAATATATTTTTTTTTTTTGTTGGCAAACAAATTTTTTTTTTTGTTTGTTTTTTAGTAACTTTTTTTTTTTGTTAGCAAGCTTTTTTTTGTTAACAAGCTTTTTTTTTGTTAGCAAACATTTTTTTTTGTTAACAAACTTTTTTTTTTTTAGCAAACTTTTTTTTTTTGTTAAAAAGCAAAAAAAAAACATTTTTTTTTTTTTTGGAAGTTTTTAGTTTGCACTTAGTGTGTGTTGATTTATTAGAAAAAAAAATTTTTATTAGAGCAAAAAAAAAAAAAATTTTTTTTATTAGAATGAAATACTTTCACAAATTGAACAACTGCAACGCCATTTTAAAAGAGATTTTGAGCAAGAGTTAGTAATAACACCAGATGGAAAAATTTCACACGATCCTTGTATTGATCATTGCCTTACCTATGCTTTTGGAGAATGTACAGCTTTACATCTTTCAAGATGTTCTAAGTGTGAACAATTTTATAAGTTTTTTTATCAGTTAGAAATCCGTGTAGATAACGAATACATAGCACAATTACACGAAATTCAAGTGCAATTAAAACATTATCTAGGCCACCAAGCATGAAAAACTTATCTTAACGCTCAGTTCAAAACAACATTAGCTCAGTTGGACCCTGAAGGCGCTTTAGTTGTTGCTGATTATAAGATGAGAGTTCTTCCGAAATCAGCTCGTGAAACCAAAAAAGATTTTTTTGGTAAAAGAGTTGGACTTTGCACACTATACTAGTTTTTAGAAAAATAAAAAATCAAGATATGTTAGATGTTCGAGCATTCGACCATTGGTCTACTGACACAAAGCAAGATGCCTGGTTCACCGCATCTTCGTTTGAAGCTGTATTTGATTCAATGAAACAGAAACCAAAATAGATAACTGTAATTTCCGATAACGGTACACATTACCACAATTCAGAGTTGATGACTATCATAGTGCATTGGCATACTTGGTATTCTATTAAAGTAAACCGATGGTTGTTTTTGGAGCCAGGGGAAGCTAAGACAACCATCGATTCTCATCATGCAAACGTGATGTTAAATTTTTTTTTTTGTGTTATTTTTTAAAACTAATAAGACTAACATATTAAATGCTTTAATACCACATTAGATTAGCCATAGCATTAAATGATATGTTCGAGTTGGTTTTGACTTGATTGAAGGTGAGGATATAGTCGAGGCAGCGAAAGGGCTTTCTGGAACATCGTTAGCCGAAATTAAAATAAATCGTGATGATAGAAGTAGTGGATCAGAAGCTGAAAACATTGAGTTAAATCAAAAAAAAAAAATAGAAATTCAAACCAAAAAAAAAAAAAATCAAAACCATGACTGGAATTTCTAAACTGTATTGCTGGGAATGGCCTGTGGAAGGGCCGTTTGCTAGATTTATCTGTGCTAAAGAACTGCCTTACGTAGGGTTATAGAAAAATTTTTCACCTGCAGAATTTAATGCATCTCTTATTCGTCCAAAACCCATAGTTTCGGCACACACAAAACCCATATCTAATTGGACTATACCAATCCTAACAATAAAAGGTATGCTTTAACATATGAATAACTTGCTAAAAAAAAGGTAAAAATAAAAAATTGGTGATAAATTGCAGTTCCTTCGAATAACGTAATAAGTGAAGATATCGAAATGGAAGGTAAGCAATAATTTTACAACCCTGTTTCAATAAGCTACTGACTTATATTACTTGTGAGGCAGACGTTATAAATTTCAATGATGAGGAGGATTATTCTGAGATGGATATTGAAGGTAGGAACTATTTACTTTGGTCTCTTGTGGTAATTTGTACGTGGTAAAAAAAATAAAATAATGTTTTTTATTCTGTATTATTTGTTTAGAAAACGATGCTGGTGAACAAGATGCATTCATTTATTTTCAAGAATCTACTGAAATAGAAAATTCTGATGGAATTGAAGTTGAAATAGATGAACAAAATTCGTTTGCCCACTATCAAAAATCAGCCTGGATGGGTAATCAAGGCTCGAATTTGGATTAAGTTAAAAAATAAAATGATAATTTGTTTACTTACTTTGTAATATTTATTTAGAAAATGAAGCTGAAATGAATAAACATCAAGCATTTATTAATTTTCAAAAATCTGCTGAAACAGGGGAGTCTAGCAGAATTGGAGTTAAAATAAATGAACAAAATACATTCATTTGTCACAAAAAATCTGCTAAAATAGAAAATTCCAGTAGCATTGAAGTTGAAATGCATAAACAAAATGCATTTATTTATCATCAAAATTCTGCTGAAATGGAAGATTTTGATGGAATTGGAGCTGAAATGAATGAACATAATGCATTCATTTATCATCAAAATTCTGCTGGAATAGGAGATTCCGATAGAATTGGAGCTAAAATAAATAAACATAATGCATTCATTTATTATCAAAAATCTGTTGGAACAGATAATACCAGTGAAAGGTTTGTAAAATCGTTATAATTTATTGAGATTATTTCGAATTTAACTAGTGTGATTCTTTTTAGGAACATTGAAGAAATATTTCAAATGCCCAAAGGTTGGGCATCTTTTACAAATGCTAAATTCGGAAAAAAGGGCGGGGGAAAAGAATTAAAGCGAATGTTGTAGATTTTTTAAAACAATTTTTTTTAAATAGAAACCTAAACCCCAATGATAAAATGACAGCCAAGGAGATATATGAAGAACTGTTGAGGTTCGCGTATTCTGGAATAATCGAAGAGGACCATGTGCCCAAAGTAACCACAATCCAAAACTGGATTGGTCGTTATTCTAGGGAATTTAATCAACAAGGAACATCCATCGTACTTGAAACTTTTAAAGCAATGAGTTCTCCAAATGAAGAAAACTAGTAAGTATCTGTGCTTCATCCTATTCTGAATATCAAATTTGACAAAAATTCATCAAAAATAGGGTTAATAAGAATGAACATAAAACATTCATTTATCATCAAAAATCTGCTGATATGTGGGATTCTAATACAGTAATAGATCAGGTTGGCTATTGCTAACAAAATGGAATTGTTGTTAAAAAAGATAAATAGATTGCATTTATTTGTCAACACTGCTAAATACTACATGTAAATGGTTTATGCAATAAATAGAATAAAATTGAAAATTCCCACACATAAAATAAACATTTTTATTTAGTTAATATAATAGATATATAATACAGTTAAATGCACATACTATACATGCTATTCATTATATATTTAGATAATACTACATACACTTCATTACACCAGAGTTGATCTTAATAACACAGTAATCGAAAATTCATTGTTATATTGAACTTCACGATAATGAGAGTTATTTTCCCTTACACCATCCTACCATCACAGAGTAGCTTCAAACATATAAACTAAATACAATATACAGCCAATTTGGATACCACTCAAATGCCTTTTCTTATTCTTGGCTATGCCTATGCCAATTCAGTAGCATTTTCCAAGATTACATTGTTTATTCGAATTACTACCTTTGGTGGTTTTCAAATACTATACAACTGCCTTTGTTTCATCATTGGTTGCGCTTATGCCTTCGTCATAGCAGGCTCCAACTTTAAATTGTCCATTCGAATTACCATTAGATAAATCTGTAAATGTTGATAGAAAAAAAGAAAACAATGTTTTATTAGCTGGTTTTCTTGACTAGTCAAATCAATAAAACATAAATTTGACTGGTTATTGGTTTTTTTTGACCAGCTCCAATCCTTATTATGGTCCGAGGAAGGAGCACTTAGGAAAGGCCTGACTGTAATCTAATAACTCATAGGTTATCATAAAGGTTTTCTGCAAATTTTCTTGTGAGATGGTGTAATGGATACACTGATATTTTTTGATCGCAAACATGTAAATGATTGCGACATAGAAAATTACTCTATTTCGTAGAGTAATAAATAA